AAAGGTTTTTAATGGTGGTCTAACATCAATCCGTTCATGAACTCGATCAAAAACCCGATAATCTCCACAACCCTATAATGATATTTTTACGTATATGACTGTTACGGTCAACAGGAAGCCTTGATGTTTCGACTTCATTTTTACTGATATTCATCAGAAATCCTAAATTATATCCTCGGTAGGAATCATTTTCCTTATGAGATTGCTGATCGACTTCAGATGACAATGAATGAAACTGCTTCTTATCCTCTTCTGTTGTCTCTATTAACTGGTGACCAACCGAATTCTGTTTTAGAGATGATTTATGTAGTTGATGATATGGAATATTACCCATTATAGGGGTCTCAGAAATAAAGATATTTACACCCATAGGGACAGGATAACAGAACTGCCTCCACCTTAACAACAACAACAACAAAACAACCGAAAAACTAACCAGTGAAAACATTCTGGAATTTAATTTGTGAAAATGTTCAGTTTCGCGTACTGTTTTCAGGATCCAACCTCCCTCAGAAATAATTTCTTTCGGATATATAATGTCACTATGACTCAATGACTTGTTAAGTCTCATACACACACACACACACACTTGTTAAGCGTTAGTTATTAATTTGAATATTTTATAAGTATATTTCATTGGTGTTCTTCCACGTGTTGGTAGATGTTGACAGATGCAGACTACTTGTTTGGGGTACGAATGATCACCGTAATCAATGGTTGGAGACTCTTGGTGACATGGCTCAGAATCGATCACAATGGCGTCGGTGTATACACTCTCTGTCTTCCTTTAAACTATGAGATTAAAATCGTATCATATCATTCTTTCTATGAAATAAATCTTTCTTCCTGTACTATCTCGTTATATGCAATCGTTCTTTTATAATATTACCACCACTGAATTAACTAATTCTATGAATCCGGTGTTCATCTTGTTGTGCTAATGAGTAAGGTATGGCAACTTGGACCGTTGCATACACGTGCCTGGTCCTACGTTGCAGCTGACTGACTGACTGTTCTTCCATGATGCTATTTCACTAATAGATCTTTGTTATAGCGGAATAAATATTTAATTTTCCAGTTAGGAATACTTTTTAAATGAATTGTAAATTAGCTACTACTTAAACATGATATTATCATTGACAATATCAAGGATTAATCCCCCTCCCCACTTGAGTAAAGATTAATGAATTGTAAATATTTTAATCTTTTTTTTTTTGATGAGCGGAAAATCCCAATGAAAAGAGATGGGGAGAGAGGGAGAGAGGGAGAGGGGAGGGTACAGGAGAATGAAATTGACGTGTCTAATTTAAAGTCAACCTGACACAATCTAATAGGGTCATAGGAGAGAGAGAGAGAGAGATGTTAAGTCTAAAATTGTTTGTTATATACATACCATAAGTTGATTAGTTTGATACTATTATATTAGATAAGGACAATAAGAATAATGAGAAGGATGTATGATAGACAAGAACTTAGAGTGATACATTTAAATAAAAACTGAAAAATCGTTAAAATATTGAGAGAAAAAAAAAGTCAAACACAATTTTCTTGCAGTCGATTGAATCTAGACCACTATGGAAAGTTTGTAAGCAATGGGTCTGTTGTGAGATAGACCATGATAGATGTATCACTCAATGTCATGGATTGGTTGGAATTAGACATTAACACCGTCGGATGCCAGTTTACTAGTCTAGACATTGAGCGTTCACGTGAGAGACCGGTAGGCCCTGGATTCGAATCCCACGGGACTCGATCGTGGATGCACACTATAATATTCACAAAAACTCCTTTCTGATATTTTTCTTTTTAAATCAAGAGATATTCAGTAGTACCTGGTCTTTTTTAGTGCTAATCAAATTTTATCAATCATGTTATAATATGGTCACTAGTTTCAATAGTTTGATATCATATGGACTAGATTTTGTCATCAAGTGGTTGGCAATAACCCACAAAATTAGTTTCCACAAAAAATATAGATGGGGTTTAGGGTTAGGGTATCAAAATTGCACAAAACTTAAATGTTTCAGTATTCTCTACCGACTACCTCCGATCACTTATATTCATTAATACTTGTAAATTGTATTACGATTTCTCCCTGTTTGTCTTGGTTGTGGTGTTACATAGGAACTGTTAGTAACTATTATACAGTTCCTTTATGTTACAAAACTTAACCATCAGTTCAGCATTGACTTACTTTCTTAAACGATTGATTATCAGACATTCTGTTGATAATTTGGATGCAAATTTCCACTTTTCAATTTTTAACAGTCGAATATTCATTTCCAATTACATAAATGTTAACTGTACTTAAATCGATGTTTCCATTAACACATTCAATTACCCATGGATAAATATACATATAGTAAATATACATGTCTACATGTTTACTATATAAGGGATTTTAATAGTTGAATTCATTAGTCTATCTAGGCTAGACCACCATAGATAACCTGGAAGTAGTGGATGGCTGCTTCATCCTAGTATGGGACTCTTCAGCAGTATGCATCCACGATACCACATGTAAGACTCCAACCAAAGATCTTTGATCTGGCACGTGAACGCTTAAACTCTAACCATTAAGCCAGCATCCAACGATGTTAATGTCTAACTTTAATCGATCCATGATCTTGTGCAACCATTTCATCCATTGTCTGAGATAGATATGTGTCTCTACCCGACATGGATAGGACTCCATTCATGAATTCAACTCTTGAAATCACTGCAATCTCTGTAAACCCTCGTTTTAATATTATATAAGTTATTTAGAAACTTATTTATTTCATCATTTGAACCTATTAAGCATAACACAAGTTCATACTGATAATAATGTTGATTCATATCATATGACAAGACAAAATAATCCCTGATAGAACTACAATTTTTTGTGACCGACCTTTGATAATAATGATGATGATGATCATGCTGCACCAAATGTCTATGCTATTTAAAAGCCACATTTAAATCAAACACGAAAGAATCTGTTTTATTGAAAACCTAGAAGCATTGGATGACCGCTTCGTTTTAGTATGAGACTCCTCAGCAGTACACATCTACGGGATTCGAACCCAACACCGAATTCATATCCTTGAAATGATTTTTACCTTTATCTGATTGGTCGTTTCTCTTTTTGTGATAATTTATAATATTTATGCATGTATATGATAAGTAGGTTTGTCGGTTGTTCATGACAGTACCTCTGTTACCGTATAAATATGTTGGGGACGTTAGATCCTTAGAACTTGTAACCCCTTCAAACCTATCAAAATAGAAATAGTTATGTTAAGCTTTAAATCAATGAATATCAAAGAAGGACACAAAAATTGAATGACAATAAACAGTAATATTTTGTATTCATTTAAGTTAGTAATTTTCTAAAGTTGATATTTTAAGAACGGATCAATTTCAGTCTTGAATATATCAACAACAAAGGGTAGGGAGGGAAAAAGTGAAATTACAAACGCTTATGAATAGGTTCATTTACCTGTTGAATAAATTAGTCGTTATCTGTCTACTTGGTAACTTAGTGAATAACGCGTTGGTGTTCAAACTGATAGACTAAAGATTTCAATTTCTTTGTAAAATATCAACATTCAAATATCCAAAGGAACATTCATTTGATTAGTTCTAAACAGAAGAACATATCTTGAAATTCCACTGTCACTGACCATTCAAATGTTCACTGTCACATTAAAACACACACACATACAGATACATATGTTTATTGTTCCTTGTATAAAAGTGTGTGCGTGTGTGTGTGTGTGTTTGTTTGGGAGGGGGTTGCAATGAAAGTAGATTGGGTACTTTTACAAAAATAATAAATTCCCCCCCCTTCTGTAATTATGCTGAATGAGAATAAAGACAATGTTTTACTATTTGATCTAATTTAAGGTTAATCACAATGGATCTGATTGACTGACATTGATTTCTGATACTTTAAAGTGAAGCAATGATAATAATAGCGATTACGTAACTTTCTTTTTTTCGACTTTGTGAATGATTGGTTTATAGATTCCGAACCCTAGTCCACTCTATTTTAGACTGAGCTGTTTGTTAGATAGTACAATTGACGTCCATGATTATTCAATGGTAACGTTTAAGACTGTAAAGCTAAATGTTGTTGATTTGAATTTCACATGAAGAATCAGTTCATCTTGTTGATAAGTGATAAACTAATGTGAAATACAAGTTGGGTGGAGTTCCTTGTCAACTATTTTTGATTATAATGAATGAACGACTGTACACATTTGTATCTAGACTCATAGTAGAATATTTACACATTCTGGAAGTAAAGTCGTACAGGATTCAGGGTAGCGGAATCAAGATGACTCTAGTTCATCCCGGATAAACTTGTCATATTGATATACGAAACTATTGTTAGAATGAATTCTATAGAGGTCTTTTAACATTGAAAATAATGACTAATTATTTAATATTTTTATTAGAACATGGTGTGTGTGTGTGTGTGGAGAATTTAAAATATTAAAGGTTTAAAGTGTGGAATGACCTAAACTATACCATCATTAGAAACTTGAATGGCCATTTCATCCCAGTATGAAACTCCTCAGGAATGCATATTAGCAAATCTATGTATGTATGTGTATGTGTATGAAGCAATTCGTTGAAATTGCGTAAATTATTATGATAATTCAATGAAGATAAACCAGCCAATTTGTAAAGTAGGCTTAGGAATTTACAACTTGATGATAAACCATGCTCTATCTGAAAATGAGTTTTATTACACTTGACTCTATGCTGTTCTATTATTATTATTATTATTCTCCGCCTGATGCCTCTTTGGGACTGCTGTCGGTCCCAAGCCTGGATAAACGAGAAGGGTTGGGCATGGGGTTAGCGACCCCATCCCTTAGAAAAATAATTCGCTATAAAACGATAACTATCATTATTATTACTATTATTATTATTATTATTATTATTATTATTATTATTATTATTATTATTATTATTATTATTAATCATTCTCTGTCTTTTTTTCCCTAAAGAATGATGAACGATGTAGCACACTGACTACTGATTCAGCTAGAAGTAGTCCAATGTTACATACTACTACAATCAATAATACTAATCGTAATGATAATTCCTTTAATCATTCAAGTCCTGGTCCCAATTCTCCACCTCTTGCTCAATCCTGTACACGTCCATTATCTGTATTCACTGATTTCTCTAGTTCAAATAATAACAACACCAATACTATTACTACTTCTACTACTACTACTACTACTAACAATAATAACATTAATGGAAGTAGTATTGGAAGTGGGATTACACGCCGTAAATCAGATATTGTAGATGCTACTCCTGTTAGTACTACTGATAACATGACAATAAATTCGTCTACATCATTATCACCTCATAATTATTATACAACTAGTGAGATCAATGCAAATATATCAATTACATCAGATTCATTAATCTCGTTCCCAACACAGTCAAAGTTGACTGACACTAGAGCTGAAACTCCGTCTACCATACCAGCTAGTGACCCTTCATTATGTGATACTACATCCAATGTCACTATCTCTGTTGATAAGAATAAAAATGATAATACATCTATTAAAATGAATCGCATTATTGACACTACTCATGATAATAATCAAACATTAAGTAGTATGCACAATCCTTCATCTTTCACATCGAATCCAATGTTGAATAATTCCGAAAAAACTCACCCATCAGAAACATGGATTATTTCACATTCCCCCGCCTCTTCCTCTTTCTCCTCTTCCCAACCACCAACCCCACCACCACCATTAGCAATGACGATGACAATGACAACAACACCAACAACAGTGGTGTCATCTCAGCTAACATCGAATAGTTTGCCCTCATCATCATCATCGATACAATCTTCAGTAAAATCGCCTTTGATGATGTCATCAACTAATACCTCAACATTGTTACCTGTCACCACCTCCGTTTCTCTATCCTCCTCTTATGCATTGTCATCTTCATTAGCAACAACATCACTAATCCCATCTAGTCAACTGTATACGACGTCGTCGTCGTCGTCGACTATTACTACTGCCAACACAACGTTTCCAACAATTCTACCAGAACGGCGATGTACCGGTGTCAATACTCTACTAGATAATTCCAAGGCTACATTAACTGAACCAGATTTATTAGGACCATGTGAACCGGGCACTACAATTTGTTTAAATGGAATTGTTTGGTTAGAGACTACAACTGGTAAGTTTTCTCATTTATATTAAATTGATTAATTGAATAATTTGCATAAAAATAAATTAAATTCAGTTTCTAATTATTATCATTATTGATAAGGATGTTGCTTTGGTAAATATAGTCAGTCAATCAATCAGCTACAACGTAGGACCAGAAACATATATGCATCGATCCAAGTTGCCATACCTTACTCATTAGCACAACAAGATGAACACCGGATTTATAGAAGTAGTTAATTCAATGGTGGTAATATATAGAAGAAAGATTGCATATAAGGACATTGTACAGGAAGAAAGAATTAGTTGGTAGAAAGAAAGATATGAAGTGATTTTAATCTCACGATTTAAGGGAAATCAAATCCAATCATCCCTAACACTGGTTAGCATTGCGCGTCGTGGTAATCGGTGTCCAGGCATACACAGCACGTGGCCCAACCATCTCAGTCGATGAAGATTCATAACTTCATCAACTGATTTGCCATCGTTCCCTAATACCCTGCGTCTAATCTCACTATTACTTACCCGGTGATCCCAGCAGATGGGAGCAATATTTCTAAGGCACCTGTGGTCAAATACTAGTAACTTACGAATATCTTCTACTCTTAAAGGCCATGTTTCGCAGCCGTATAGTAGGACGGAACGAACTGCCGCACAATATACACGTCCCTTAATTGATAGATGGATATCTCGCCTTCTCCATAGATGACGTAAGTTGGCAAAAGCCAAACGAGCTTTTCGAATCCGTGCTGAGATTTCGTCAGACACCAACTCGTTAAGGCTGATCAGACTTCCAAGATAAGTGAAGTTGTCAACGCGTTCGACTACTTCACTCCCTATCCTTAATTCAGGTGTTGACTCAGACCAGTCCTGAAGCAACAACTTGCATTTAGAGGGAGAGAAGCGCATCCTATTTAATAAACATAACATGTACATATTCTGAATTACATGATTTCTTGTATAGTTAGTTAATTTAGTATTGTTCAAGTCCCGCATACAGGATTGTGGAGGCACACTGCTGAGTTATCCCATACTAGAACGAGACGTCCTTCCAATTCTTCCAGATTTTCAGTGGTGATCTAGCTTACATCAACTCCGGAATTCGATTCGATAAGTATCTTATTCTCCTGTTATATAGTGTAAATTATTTTCTAATAGAGAGATAAGGTTACTACAAATGATTCAGTCATTATAATATTACCATGGTTATTCGAATGTATATACATAAGTAATATAAATAGTCTAATTGTATCGTTTTCTGTACTCCATTATATTGTGTATAATTGCATTAGTTATATACATGTCCTACTGCCTATCTGTCTGTCCATCTACCTATCTATCTACCTGTCTATCTATCTCGGGAAATAACTTCTTTTGGTTTAAGAATACCACGTTTAATATCTTACTCATTTTTACCTCTAACTCAAAATACATGACTAGAATTCATGACCTATTAGTTACAACAATGTCTTTTTTGAAAAGAATACAAATATGCGTTTCAATCAGTCAGTAACAATGTGGAACTTCGTACGCACGTACGTACATCAGTTCAAGTTGCCATACCTAACACAATAGCGCAGAGATTCAGTTATCGATTAAAATCTCGTAGTGGTAGAGGTAGTGAAAGTATAAGTAGTGATAGGGAACATTAAGGTTTGATGATGTTATTTAAGGAGTATAATCCAGTGGAATAGATTTGGTAAGAGAGTAAAGGACATGAAGAATTCAGAAGATTATAATTTTAGAGAACACAAAGAGTGGATGCACCTGCACCATTGTAAACGATTTTGAGCCATGTCATTCAAGGTCTCTAACCATCGGTTGCTATCGTCTTGTGGATCGCAACCAGGTAGTCTACACCTACCAATATGGCTCAGTCCACTTGTCAGTGACTTCATGGACTTGTGCCATGTTTTGGTCTGGCCTCCCCTAGTTTTCTTCCAACCTATTCCTACACCATAAAACATCTCATGTCGGTGCAGTCGGTGGTCGGGCATGCGCAACACGTATCCCAGCCATCTCAACTGATTAATTTTCACTACTTCATCAACTGATTTGCCATCCTTACCTAGTACCCGTTTACTAACAACTGCATTACTTGCTCTATGGTCCCAGGATATACGAGCAATGTTTCGAAGACACCTATGATGAATTACTAGTAATCTACGAATATCCTCTACTCTTGCCGACCATGTTTTAAGTATGCGTTTAATATATAATGACTAAAAAAAACATGCCTGAATATTTAAACTATACTTATCACAAGATGATGTAAGATATCGTTCGAATTCCAGGGAGATTGCAAATACTTTCTGTTAAATAAAGCTGCCTGTAAATTGTTCCTAACTAACTAACTAACTAACATGACAGAGTGAATCAAAATGTCAGGGTTTCTTTTTTCGGAATGGTAATGATTCTGAATTCCAAGTTGTTCCACACAGTTAGACCATAGTTAAGAACTAACCACACAATATGTGACCGAATGCCATTCACTGATGGACTACGTCAATTCCTTGGTTCACTGACTACATCACTTGTCTTAGAAGTTCTTTCAGACCTGGTGAGAGTTGTTGCTGACGAAATTTTGATACGTATAAAAAAAACTCCTCTGACTTTTGTCCAGCTTTCGTCAATTAATGCATAGGAGAAATACCCGCCTACCGGTCAAATGTTGAGTATACTGTGCAGCATTTTACTCTGTGCTACTCAGTGACTATGACACAGGGTACATATAGATACAAGAAATTTGTAGGCTGTAAATTTTTGATCTCATATATCTTTGAAGGATTGTTCATGTATCATGAAACGGATCTATGCAGTTATCATGACCAATGGTTGGCGACATTAGGTGATATGGCTTAAAATCAATCACGATGGAGCAGATAAATTGAATCTTTGTCTTCCTCTAGGTTTTTAATCATAGCATCCTTTCATATACGCCTGTATATTATGCCTTTCGTGGTTAATTTTTAATTTTCATTCCTTCTATTACGGTTATTTCAACTACTTCGTTATTCATTTTGTTAACTTCCGACTTCATTGTATTGAAATGGTATAGTAACTTGGATTAATACAAACTTCTGTTAGACTCAACGTTGTTCATGATTGATTGTTTGTGTGATCCGCTTTTAGCTGCTCTGTTTATGTATGTAATACTTTGTGATACTACCTGAATGCTCAAACTGAAGTAAACGGAAATGCGCTCGAACATGAGATTCAGTAGTCAAAAGCCGAGTGATAGAACCACTAAACCATCACTAATCAATTGAATTGAGATCATGAACCGACTGATGTTAGACCACCGTTGGAAACCTGGAAGCATTGGACGGCCGTTTCGTGTACTCATTAGTGACTAGCTTCATGAGGGAATTCTCGGAGTTCTAGTAAGAAACCGTGACCAGTGGAGCTAATCCGTGTCGGCTAGAGACAGATATCTACTCCAGTACAATGGAAGATGGTCGCTCAATTTCGTGGATTGTTTGATGTTAGACACTAACACCATTGGATGCCGACTCAGTGATCCAGTAGGTTAAGCGTTCGCGCGCAAGACTGAAGGCCCTGGGTTCGAATCCCACGAGCGGGATCGTGAATGAGCACTTCTGAGTAGTCCCATACTAGGACGAAACGGCTTTCCAGTGCTACCATGTTTCCAACGGTTTTCTAACATCAGTCGGTTCATGATCTCAATCGAAATGATATCTTGCACCTTATCTTACATTAGTAAATATAACACTCACTAAAATAAACGACCAGATCGATTTGAGAGTATATGTAGAGCTCATTCATAAATATATATCTCTTTCCCTTGGAAGATAAAGTAACATTTTCAACCAACAAGTCTTTTACCTCAGAAAGTCAAGTCTAATGTTAACTAATAGTATACAGCCATCAGTATGACTTATTTATCGTTTGGTCTATGTCTACCATTTTTCTCCCGATTAATTGTAGTTTACTATATTTTACTATAAATTTTAGATTTTATTAGAAGGGGGTTTTGTGGAGATTTTAGTAATTTAATAGTTGAATTCATGATTCAATTAAAACTAGATCACTATGGAAAACGTGGAAGCACTGAATTGCTATTTTGTCTTAATATAACACTCCTCAGCAGTGTGCATCCACGATCCCGCCCCCGCCGCGAGATTCAAACCCAGCACTTACCAGTCTTACGCACGAGCGAACTCTTAACCTCTAGACCACTGAACCAGTCGGTATCCAACAGTGTTAATGTCTATCTTCAACTAATCCACGACATTGAGCAACACATCCATCATTATTTTCAATGAGTTACTATCTCACGACAAACCTGGTTGAACTCCACTAGTCACTACTTCTCACCAGAATTCCAGGAAATATCTATTGAAGCATACCATGATTATTATCTGAAAGGGTTTTGTACAATTTTTAGTAATTTTATAGTTGAAATTTGTAAACGAATTACAGATAGTTTGTTTAATCGACATTATTTATTATTATTACTATTACTATTAGTAACAGTCGTCGTCGTCGTTGTAGTAGTAGTAGTAGTGGCAGTATTAGTATTAGTATTAGTAGTAGTAGTAGTAGTAGTAGGAGGAGGAGGAGGAGGAGTATTGTTATTATTATTATTATTATTATCGTATAAACACCCTCTCACATGTATCAACAAAGTACAAGCACATAGTGATAAACATCTATGTAAACCCTTAAAAAGGACATCATACACATACATACATACTTACATACATACAGACAGACATATTGACTTTCTTTCATTTGAAATGAATTTTTTTTCTTTGTAGAGAAAAGATAAAAATATTTTTCATTCGTAATTTTGTTTTAAAATTCTTTTTTGTTGTTTTCTTTATTTTATTGATTTATTCTTTAATGCTCTAATCAGTCGCCTTGTTTTGCATTATAACCATGTTTATAAATAATCAGCTGATTTAGGATGTTTATCCATAAAAAGGTGTGTGTGTGTGTGTACGTGTGTATATTTACATTATGTACGTACAATATTGCTCAGACAGG